GGAAGACAGACATGGGCCCTGAAATTCCCTTGCAGCTGCTTCAGCTAGTGGGGCAACAATGGCAGCTTGCCTTTCTGTCTGTACCTCCATGATCCCAAGCAATAATCCTCAGACAGAACCCAGATCTACAATAATTGGAGAACAAGGTTCTTGTCATCCTGGCTCCTGCAAGCCATCTAAAGAATGCCAGTACAGCTGCCTGCCATGGGGCTGGAGGCTGGGGCATGGGTAGCTGCTACTGACTGAAATTAAACTGCAAGTTCCTGATCAAGCCTTCCCTTAGAAGCTGCCAGCCTTCAAATAGATTCCACAGTTTCAAAATCCTTCCATCAGTCAGATTCTGCCAGTTCATTCGTTGTTTAGGTAGGGAGGCAGAATCCTAGAGCTTCCTACTCTGTAATCTTCCTTGATGTCCACTTTTCCTTCTTTTTTTTTAAAGATTTTATTTTTAAGTAACCTCTACACCCAACCTGGGGCTCAAACCCACAACCCCAAGATCAAGAGTCACATGTGCCACCAACTGAGCCAGCCAAGCACCTGCACTTTTCCCTTTTTTAACTCACATTTTACAAGTTTTAGTATTTTCTTTCTTCTTTCTCAAGTAATGTTGAAGATGAAGACTTGGATAGAAATCTCATAGTTATGAAGTTATTTCTTATCATTTGGGGAAGCAATTTTGTTAATTTGCTTGCACTGAGCTATCATTGTCTTCAGTTATCCAGAAAGCTTTGGTATTTACTATTTATTTTTTTAAGTTTATTTATTTATTTTGAGAGAGAGAGAAAAAAGTGGGGGGGGGGGCAGAGAGAGAGAGGGAGAGAGAATCCCATGCAAGCTCCGTGCTGTCAGTGGATAGCCCAACACAGGGCTCAATCTCACGAACCATGACATCATGACCTGAGTCGAAACCAAGAGTTGGATGTTTAACCAACTGAGCTACCCAGGCACCTCAGTATTTACTATTTAAAGATAAGTTTTATAATTCTATAAGTATTCTAATTTTCTACTTAGGAAGTATGTTTTTTAAGTAAAAGTATTTTTTTAAGATCTTGTCTTTTGTATATTGATATTTTTTTTTTTTTAATTTTTTTTTTTTTTAAACGTTTATTTTATTTTTGGGACAGAGAGAGACAGAGCATGAACGGGGGAGGGGCAGAGAGAGAGGGAGACACAGAATCGGAAACAGGCTCCAGGCTCCGAGCCATCAGCCCAGAGCCTGACGCGGGGCTCGAACTCACGGACCGCGAGATCGTGACCTGGCTGAAGTCGGACGCTTAACCGACTGCGCCACCCAGGCGCCCCTGTATATTGATATTTTTAAATTCAGGTGTGGAACACTGACTTTTAAAATTGTAGGTCTCAGGGTGCCTGGGTGGCTCAGTCGGGTAAGTATCTGACTCTTGGTTTTGGCCCAGGTCATGAGCTCATTTATGGTTCCTGAGTTTGAGCCCCACATTGGGCTCCATGCTGACAGTAAATAAAGTTGCAGGTCTCTTATTAGATATGATCTTTAAGAGGAAAAAGATTAATCTATTCACTCCTATTGCAATAAATAACAGAAAGTGGAAGAAGAGTTAATTTTTAGTTTTATTATGGAAAGTGTAAACATGGGAAGGTAGGAGTGGTAGAAAGGGTAGGTGCTAAAGCACAGGGCAGCCCCACAACAAAGAATTATCTATCCCCAAATGTCAGCTGAGGTTGAGAAATCCTGATCTCTACACAGGATTTAAAATATTTTTATGTATTTTCTTTAAAATATCTTTATATTTTTATAACAATAAGTTGGTCCATCCAAGAATAGAAGAGGTCATTCCATTCGTTCAGAGGTACTTTAATGTCATTCAAGACTGTTTTCAAATTTTCTTCATAGAAGTTTTTTTACATTTCCTGTAAATTCATTCCTCTAATCCTTTGTTAGGGTCAGTGAAGGTTATTGTCTGTAGCATGTTAATTTTCTATCCTGCTACATCACTGACCAAGTTTTTATTGTTGGTTTCCTGGAGTTAAGTAGATAGAGTATAATATCAGCAGCAAATAGGGTTAGTTTACTTCCTCTTTACTCATCCTTGTGCATCTGATTTTTCTTATGTAACTGTATTAATACAATACAACACAATACAATACAATACAATACAATACAATACAATACAATACAATACAATACAATTAAGTGAATACAATAAAGTGAAAATAATGGGCATCCTTGTCTTGTTCTTGATCACAGTGGAAATGTGTTTCTTCATTAAATAAGATACTGGTAGGGGCGCCTGGGTGGCTCAGTCAGTTAAGCGTCTGACTTCGGCTCAGGTCATGATCTCACTATTTGTGAGTTCGAGCCCTGCTTCAGGCTCTGTGCTGAGAGCTCAGAGCCTGGAGTCTGCTTCATATTCTGTGTCTCCCTCTCTCTCTGTCCCTCTCCCACTTGCACTCTGTGTGTCTCTGTCTCAAAAATAAATAAACATTAAATATTTTTTTAAAAAGATACTGGTTTTAGGAGTAAAATATATGTATTTTAGCATGTTGAGAAAGTATCCCTAAATTCTTATGTTCTTCAATGTTTTTACTACTGAATTTTTTTGAAGGCTTTCTCATTGTCTCTGAATATGCTCATAATTTTCTCCCTTAGGTATATAAATTAAAATATATACTGCAGTAAGTGGTATAATAAAGGGAATGGAGTGTGAAAGGGTACTGGAGCCTCCAGTGAACCCAGTGCCTGCGGCACACAGGGTACACAGGGTACACAGAGGAGTTAATGCTGGAACTGAGTCTGAAGGCTACAGAAAAGTTTGGAGGGATGACATTCAGCAGTAGAAATAATTGCATTAATGAGAACAATGTCATGGAAATAATGTATAAGTCTGTCATAGGCTTTGGATGCCAGACCGCATGTCCTAATCCTCCAATCCTGCCTCTCCATTCATTCTCCTGGTCACTTGTACACTCTCACCTTACTTTTTTTTTTTTTTTTTTATAATGTTCATTTATTTTTGAGAGAGAGAGACAGAGCGTGAGCATGGGAGGGGCAGAGAGAGAGGGAGACACAGAATCTGAAGCAGGCTCCAGGCTCTGAGCTGTCAGCACAGAGCCCGACACGGGGCTTGAACCCACGAACCATGAGATCATGACCTGAGCCGAATTTGGATGCTTAAGCAACTGAGCCACCCAGGCGCCCCACCTCTCAGCTTCCTTAAATGAGCTTCTTTGATTTTTTTAGTCACCCTTGTCCTTTGCCATCATCCATTATTATTTATTTTTTTCTCTTGCTAGGAAGCCAGAAAGCAAGCCCTTATTTAGGTATCATTAACATTTATTCTTTGTACACATTAAGTTTCAGCCAGTCATGTGAATCATAAGCATTTTTTTTTTCCAGGATATAAGAGCAGTCCTAAAACTACAAAGTCAACTCAAACTCAAGATTCATTATTTCAGGAGCTAATAAGGAAAAGACTCAAAAGGGATGAACCCTGGAATTTCATATCAGAAAAATCCTGTGTATATGAAGACAGATTAAAGAAACAAAAGGACAAAAATGAAAGTTTACAAATAATTTCAATCACCCATACAAAACTCCTCACTGTAGAAAGAAGCCATAAAAATACTGACTTTGGCCAAAATTTCAGCCTGAGATCAGTCTTTGTGAAGCAACAGAGGGTCGCTAGAGAAAAAACACCCTCAAAATATGAAATACAAAGAAATAGCTTCAAGCAGAATTCAAATTTACTTAACCAACCAAAAATCAAGATAGCAGAGAAACGCTATAAATGTAATATATGTGAAAAAGCCTTCATTCACAATTCATCCCTTCGTAAACATCAGAAAAACCACACTGGAGAGAAATTATTTAAATGTAAAGAATGTTTGAAAGCCTTTAGCCAAAGTTCAGCTCTCATTCAACATCAAAGAACTCATACTGGAGAGAAACCCTATATCTGTAAAGAATGTGGGAAAGCTTTCAGCCATAGTGCGTCCCTTTGTAAACACCTTAGAATCCATACTGTGGAGAAATCCTATAGATGTAAAGAATGTGGTAAATCCTTCAGCAGGAGATCTGGCCTTTTTATACATCAAAAAATCCACGCTCGAGAAAATCCCCATAAATATAATCCGGGTAGGAAGGCATCCGGCCTTCCTGGATGTCAGAGAATTCACCTCAGAAAGAAGTCCTATTTATGCAATGAATGTGGCAACACCTTCAAGTC